AGAGGATAAACCACTATTTAACAACTCAAGAAGAATCAGGGTGATTTCCAACAAGATCAAATTAAGGATAAACATCAAAAAGCAATGGTGCATTTAATCAGCCCTATCCAGAGTCTCAGTGGTTATATCGATGATGATCCAATTAATTAAGTCACATCACTGAAACTTCGCGGTTCCAACAATGAAGTCGACCCCCAACCGGGTGGCGCAGGTAAGACGAACTGAGTGCGTGACGAGATCCTGCTGCGCGCAATGCCCCGTGTCTTAGACGCAATTATTCGTTCCGTCCAGGCCCATACTTACGAAACCCGGCATCGAGGAGCCAAAGATACGAAGCCGCTGGGAGTATTCAACCACTTGTGCTTATGCTAAATACGAAAACCCACTTGGCGTGATAAGCAATACAATACTGTCACCTACCGAGGCTTAGTCACATCCTACAGCTCTGTTAAAACAAACACCCAGTTCTCCGCCTCTTCGAGGTTGCAGCTATCGGGTTAGGGGACCTGGATGATTATAAAGAACTGGAATATGGAACACTTAGGTTAACACTCGGAGTTGGGCCATAAAACCGCGACTGGGTCGCCAACTGCACCGAGACCAACATGTATAGAAAACAGATTAGATATATCCACCGGATGGGGGGGGTAGGCAACTCGTCCTCGATCAGATGGTTGTGAATAACACAAAACGGAAAGTACCACGATACCCTGATCGTGATGAACAGTGGTTCGTCAGTGTGATAAAGAACCCTAGATGGGTAAAGATCTTTGCTGTATAAGAACAGCTGAATGAAGTTAGCACCCAAGATTCCGGTGCCTTAACGTCAGGCTTGTGTTGGAACACATTTGTTTGATCAACCTTATCTATAAACAATCAAAAGTGAGGAACAGAATAAAGCGAATAGCAATAACAAGGTGGGCAGAACGAAATCTAAATGATAGCGCTAAGTTTACTTATCCAGACTCCCACACAACTGCATACAAAGCCCGTTAAAATCAGCATCATTAAGTTTAGATTTGTATACCCGTTCATTATGTGCATTTTTGGGTTTTAAAACAAAAACCAGTGGGTGTACGACGAATGAGGAATTAAAACTACGTTTGTGCGAACTTTCACGATCAATACCAAGTTCCATTGCTACATCAAAGTTACGATTTGATTACATGAAGTCTCGGTGTGAGGTGAGGTTGCTGGCTGTTTAACCAAGTATTTGACGCAGATACCTCGGGTTCCAAAATCATAAAAAGACAAACGCACTTTGAGTTGCCTCCATTAAATCGATCAGCTCAGCAGGGATCCTACGTTTCGATCAAGTAGTACATCCACTCAGTTTATTACGGCTCCGCCAAAGATAGTGCTGCAGATTGCAAACACTAACAACTGAAATCCCACTAAGTGAACGATAAAATCACGTTTGATAGAAAATGATGGAACTCTTGGCCAGCTCCATAAATAAGAAGCGCCGATCGATTTGATGGCTTCAGTCCACAACAGTTGATCACGAATTTTGAGAAAACGTTCGCCACGCTCGTTCGACGTACCGTCAAAACTGATTACCAGAAGCTAACAAATAAAACAACTAACAGGTACGGGACTGCGAGCTGTATGAGAGAGCACCCAAATACAGGTCTAAGAATAGGGCAAAACCGAGGCAAGTTCGGGTAAACGAGTTCATTAAGGGGCTTTCTTTTGTCCAGGTCACAATTTGTCATAAAGGAACGAACCAACACGCACGCCGTTGTGCGAATTAAGGGCAAGCTTAACAGTCGGACAGAATGCACTGTGAATGAGTAAAAATTATGCAGATAAGCCATTCAAGCGCATGTGTGATGACGCTTTTCCTCTTACTGCACTCGTTCACTGTTTATATAACGAATGGATAATTAGGCGTTCGTATGCAAAAACCTTCCGTTCGTATATCTTGGCGGTTCGGTATTCGTGATCACGGTTATCGATATTCTAAGGCAGTGATTGATCAGTTGGTCTATGGTGATCCCAAATATTGGAATTACAAATTAATCATCGCCGCCACAACCAATCAATCTCATCACACTCAATAACATCTAAAAACAAACTTATCTGTGAAATTGCCTCAGGAAGTTTCCCGACACGTTCACGGCACGATCCACCCCACTGATTGGCATTCGAGTGATCAAATGCGAATTGCATCACATGCATGCAGGAAATCCAGTTTTCGAGAGTGACGTGGAAAAACCAACTGTCAAATCTATGCTGAATAGGCGATTGGAATGAGTCAATAATCAAAATATTTTATGAACACGAATGTATCCAATGAGAGCTTGTGTTTCTATTTTTTGACAGACAATTTCGGATAAATGTTCAAGCAAAAGCAGCTTTGTGGATTGGTTATTCATCACAGAGACAGATTTGCATCGAATGACGCTAAAGCGAACTGAAAACTCATGAAGTTACAGTCCTAAGCGAACATACACAGAAAATGATTGTCGGATTAGAAAGCAAAACGAGGATTGACTGGTCAATGGAGTAAGCTAACTATGATATACTACCCCGTCTCTCCCCTCCTCTCTCTCTCTCGCACACATTCAATAACAGAAATCGGTACATCCACAATCCGTGTTTACCGTGTGGGAAGGTGTAAACAAGCAGTCAGGGTCACTGGATTGACAACGGTAGAAGATGCGCTCGATTTTTTTCTCCCTGTTCATACATCTCAGTTGCAGCACCGATGAAGCAATGCGATAAACTTTATGCATATCGGTAATTACGGCACTACAACGCAGAGCCGGGTCCGGAACACACGCACACACACACACACACACGCAACAAAGCGTTTCTTGTGGAGACTGATCGCCCACAGCCGAAGTGAACATGGCATGCTACAAGATCGATCACTGTCCAAACGACAGCAGACCCCTTGTTACATAATGAATAGAAAAAAACAATTAAATCACTCGTGATTCACTGAATGGCACAGGCCCCGAGCGAAGTAAATAAAAAGGCGGAACACTCGGATGTAATTCTATGATGAGGCGGCGTACTAATAAGACAGTAGTAGATTCAAGGGATAGACCGGGGTGTTCGCGCCAGGACGGGAGATAGACAGGGAGGAAAAACACGAGAGAGAGAAAGAGACGAAATGGGGCATGAGCGAGTGGAGGAGGAGAATGAAAGGCGGTAACACAAGACTAACTCGTCGAAGTCCATAAGGAAACAGTTCGTGCGTGTATTGAAAACACACGAAATGATTAGAGTTCACAGGGATGGGGGAAACGCAAATATCGTCGTTCTTCAGCTCAAACCACAAGACAAAAGAATCATCATGAATGTATCGATGACTGCAACAGCGGATAAGCAAGTAAATAACCAGAGAGAGAGAGAGCGAGAGAGATCTATTAGAAAGAACGAACCAGTCGGGATGATGAGGGATGGAGCTGCGTTTTGTGGACAGGACAAATGACACCAACGGCAGAATGAACGGCGGCTAAAGGGGTTAGCAGGGATGAAAGTGGGACGGAGCTTGTGCATAAGTTACATGCTAATGCGAAACAAAGACGGAGACGGAAAGTGAAAAACAAAACACAAAGAATGACGCGGTGATCTCACAAGTACTGAAAAGCGAGGGAAAGGCTTAGAGAAAGTACAGTTGGTGTCCGACGCAGAAAATGAGTACATCAGAATCCCAGTTCATTAGCTGAAACCACATACACAGTTCATTCATGGGATCGACTTTGGAAACGTGATTCACGCGGAACCGAACACTGTGAGTAAAAGAGAAAGAAATGGAATTAGAACGACATATAAATTTATATGGAAGAATTCTCCCTCCCTCTCCCTCTTCGTTTCACTATAGACAAAGTATCAACAGCAGACAGGTAAGTGGAAAGTGTCCTTAAGAAAATATAACCGTGGAAATTCATTGTTCACTGTAGTATGTTTTATTTGATCCGGGGTTATTTATTGTATTTTTCTTGAGGTAGTGGTATTTGTACAGCAAACTGGTGACGTAAGTTGATGTGAATCCCTTAAACTCTGATTGGTTTACCGATCAATTTGCCTTTTCTTTGTTCTGCAAGGGCTCAATCAAAACCAGTGGGGCAATGTGTGAATGGAAGAGTGCAACCAAGAGAGGTCGTTCCTCAGTGTTGAAAATACACTAGCCCGAGAAAATAGATCACGACTGGGAGCATCTCGACTACTTGAACCAGTGTTGTTGCAGCGTTGATTAAGCAGTGTGCACTAGAATGTCCCAGTCAAACGCGATACCTTTCGACTGAATACAGACCAGCCAGTAATAACCCGATTTCAAACTATAGCAGATAGCACCAAACTATCAATCGGAACAGACCGCATTCACAAAAACCACACACTAATTCAGGCCTCGTCATATTTGAAGACGAAGCGTTAGGTCTACGGTTTGATTCAACCAATGTATGCCAAATTGATTAGAATATAATATTTAGAAATTGGAAAGTAAACTTGAAAGAATTCCTCATGCAGACCAATAACCGAAATTTGTAATCGCTTCGTGGATCGAGTGCGTCCAACCCCGACAAACTGTACAATCTGGATGGTTTAACCATGAGTATCAGTATAAAGTGATTCAACAGAATTACCAAATATAATACCGGTTAACAAGTTATATTCACTTATCCAGCGTGTGTATTCGGTACAAGGTCTGTCAAGTCCCCTTAATTAAGTGCATCATTTGTGTAGATCAGCAAATTGAATCATCCCATTATTCTCGGAACGACGACAATGATGACTGGCTACTATGATACGGCGTCACATTGTACTAGAAAAGTAATCTGTGCTCTCACTGATCGCTCTATCGCTTCAGCAAGTTAGAATGGGTTATGTGTCTATGAAATGCGAGTTGATTTGTTCCTGATCAGGATTGAGGACAGAGAAAACAGGCTATTTGTACACACTGAAACCGAGTTGGACGAGGTAAGATCCGGCAAGGCAGCATACCGATCATATGAGAACTGTGACGCAACGGATACAAAAATAGTGATTTAGAAGGCGTCGAGGTTCAGGGCGACCGAAACTGTGAACCGATGCATGAAACAGACTAGATAGATGATGCTCTGTGTTCGAACGACACGACTGGGGTTTTGAACTGTGTCCAGCTCAGAGTGAAAAAAAAAACTTGTCTGAGTGAGTAGAGAACTTACCAGTCATGCTTTCAATCGCATAAAATCGTACATCTGCATCTGAATCACTTTCGGCGATCTTCTTCAAAGCAGGTAACACCTCCTTTTGAACAAACCTGGAAAAACGCAAATAACAGGGGCGTCGTGAATGGATTTTGGTGAAATGGATACTCTAGACAATATATCAACACCCATCAAACTCAGAAATTCCCTGAACCTCATGAAACATTAGAACTCAAGAGATAAGAAAAGTTGCGAGAAGTTACGTGGAATGCCATAACAACGACTTCCGAAAAGAAAACTAGATTTTAACTTGCTCCAATACAGTGGCGATCAGATCCGAGTATGACCAAAAGTCCCGCTCCACAAAATGATGAAAGAACGAAGTACATGTTATGTCAAGTCAATCGAATGGGATCGCGAAACGATACCGACGAATGAGTAGATTCATTGCACATCTGGATTGGATGCTAAAGATAAACACTGTATCCATCGATACATCAGAATCATGAGAACCCAACACCCTGGATGTGTGAACGAAGTGATACGCTCTAGCAATCAAAATACTCCAAGTATCGTATTGATGGAAAGTGTTACAAGAAAGACGAAACCGGCGGAGAATACACAATAAATGCTTAGACTTACTTCTTATCCAAGCCGCCGGACACAAGCTGTAGGGCTTGAACGGCACAAATACGGACATTTGCAACAACATCCTCCGCGGCCAAACGAAGTAGCTGACTCGCGCAGGTCGATAAATGCGTGCCAGGTAGTTGTGGTGGAGGCTGGCAACATTCGGGAACAGGAATGGAACCGGATTGTTTGGTGGAAACAGCCGTGTATGCGTTACGTACCCCCGGGAGACAAATTCCCATGTCGGGATTATCTCCAGTCGCGCTGTAGGGGGATTCATCAGGTATACCAGGACCCCAGATAGTCTGAAATCGGTGTAAAAGGTGTGATTTATCCACACAGAAAGAAAGGAAGACGAAGGAAGTAAAACGTTGTAGCACTCACTAAAACTGCGATAGCTGTAAGAAGAACTATGGGTAAATTTTTGAGTCAGGTAGCTGATCAGCTAGCATTCAAGTTGTTTTTGAAGGAAATGAACGACGCAATCGTTAGGGTCGGTCGAGAAACAAAACATTTGGATCATGCCTGAAAATAAATTGAACATCAACGATCATCGTTATACATTACTCCCCTTCGAATGATAAACTCTGTTTTCACTATTTCCTACTGCTCGAATACCTAAATTTCGAGCTATGAAACAGTGGAACAGACTAGGCCCAGCAGAAAAGGTTAGACGGGGACAAAGCTAGGTCTTAAGGTTCTATGGCGATGGGATTTAAACCATAGCGTCCGAAGTAAGCTAACCACAGCGAGGCAAACCGCCAATACTCATCATGTTGTTCCAATAGTTAGCTTAGTAACTTTTACAATTGCACAGTACATTACTGCGACCATGACAGTGACTTCCTTCACGATTAACCACACGAGACTGCGAAGCGAGGTATTCGGAAGCGCTGTAGTACACTTAAATTCCGTCACCATACGATAACGGGGAAAAGAGAGGGTGAATGTTTGTAAATGAAACTGTCAAGCAAACTGAGATGAGACGGCTACATACCTGGACAGCTGTTATGTATATTTGCCGCAGATGATAGTTGGTATCAGTGGCCAGTGCTTTTAAGCCACCAGCAGCCGCTTGAGCAGTGAGGGCATTGATTGAATTGAGCGTTGAGTTGCTCGCGTTCACGGCGAACGAGGAATTGGTCATCCCGGAAACGGAGCCGGGGTTTGAAGGATTATTGGTGTCCGGGTTGGTTTGATTTTGGCCACCCGGGGATGTGGTATTCCCGATCGATGAGGTGTTTGCTGGAGAGTTCAAGGACGCGGCTGTATTGTTTGAGGTTCCTGCACCACCAGTCGCGGTCGTTGATGTTGTATTGTTTGCGTTCGGGGATTGAGTTTGACCAGTCACGGCGGCTGCCGCAGCAGCGGCGGCCTTCTGACCTACGCCATTCAGTACTTCTTTGCACAGTCCGGGAAACGCTCGAAGCAAACGAGCCAGACTACGACAAGCACACTCACGAACGTACCAAGAAGGATCGCGCAACCAGGCCAGATTGGCTGGCAATACAGTTTCTCGAACGCAGGATTCCGGCTGAAAAACAAAAAGAATAACCAAGTTTTTCTGTGAACTTTGAGTGAAAGTGAATAAAAATGGAATACAGTCTACTCATAAAGAAACGAAATATAATTGCCTTATATTTACTCATTTCAACTCAAGGGTGGGATTTAACGTGATACTATTCCTGCCTCTCCGAAGAGATAGGAGTACCTGCAAAGAAAGTAACTCTTATCCGAATAGGTTGTCCCTATCCACAATAAAAAAACGGCGGATTTGCCTTGGTTCTGGAATTGGCAAAGCCAATCTGTTTGACCTACAAATAGAAGTGATCCGGATCAAACCAATCGGTGGTTGAACACATTAGGTTATGTGGTTAGATGTTATGGACAACATGACTGATTCAACTCCACTTACTTTTTTTAAGCATCTAATTTTGTTTAGTACCGATCTTTTATTCGTTGTGTGACCGAGTACCATGCCTCGCCCGAATAGGTCATCCTCTTGGACGAGGACTTCGGGACCAGCATGATCGACGGTCAGAGACACTGAGTGTAGTAAAACAGACACGCTCGTGCATTTACACAATGTTCTTGCAACCCTAGTCTTCATGAACTCTATTTCCAGTCTGAAACTGATTTGAACATTCTAATCTTCCAATTACTCTTTCATTCGAATGGTCAATGATGAGTCACCAACGAAAACCGGCGCACAAAAATGTATGCGTTATGGTGGTGATAACTGAAACTGATTTTGGTTTTCCAACCCCAATGTTAAGTTTCAGTCTGATCACCTTTGACTTTCATCATTGAACGCGCTGTGCCGGATAAACATCCCAAATCAGGTGACATGCTTAGCAGATGTCTCAGTAACAGTAATTTATCGGGGATGAGCAGTTGTAGGAATGTTCGCGGTCGTATACGGTATGATATCAGCTGACATCCCAGCACTCACAGATGCACACAGAATCCGCATTAGACGGTCCATACAGGGTGAAAAGAGGCGAGCACAACAAACATGACAGCGTAGATATAAAAAAGCTCGCTTTTACTCACCAAATTCGGGTACAGACAGGGGACGGACTGAACGACACCCAAACGAACACGCCAGTTTTTATCTTGCCAAAGGCGCAGTAGGCTCGGCAATAGTGTTAACTGTACCTCGTTCGTGGGCATCAGAGCAACCAATTCGGAGAAATGTTGAAACACATACTGTTTGGACTAAACCCGAGGGAGAGAGAGAGAGAGAGAGAGAGCGCGCGCGCGAACTAAGTTGTTTGAACGCCGAATCGACAAATTAAGACGATACTTTACATACAACGGCACGTAACCAGCACGTAGAAAACGCCCACGCATAACCCAATAGAACAAAATAACCAATTTAAACCCACGGTGGAATTACTGCAAGGACTGAACTATAGTCAACTGAGAGACATTCGTACTATCGAAAGGTATGATGAAAACATGTTTATGATTGACTGAGAGAGAAAATTAAGAGTGGCAAAAAGAAAAATAACAAAAAGTTCAAATAGCGAACACAACGGGACAGAAAATCACCTAGGTCTATGACAAACAACACGTATATATCAGTATTACTGCTATCATCAGCATGGGTAACCGAAAAAAACACGGTAAAATCTCATTTAAAAGAAACCCTAATAGACTGTCCATGCTTTTCGAAAACCGGGGAGCATAAAGTCACACATCTATGACCATGGGAACACAACAAACTCCCCAAATCACATAATTGTATATCACTTATGCACACAACAGCACAGTGCACACAAAAACACGCACATAAACAAAGTCGGGGGAAAAGAGAAGAGCGGGCAGATGTAATATGAATCATCGCCTTTTCATCGGTAGCAAAGACGCGGATCGATTCCGCAGGTCGAATTGTGCACACACAGAAACATTGGAAACCTGGACAAACAGCAACTGATGTAAACACGATGATTCCCTAAAACATGGGTCGAACATCTTTGTCAATGCAAGTGGCAGCGCAATGTCTGTGACCAAATTATTAACGAAGTTTATCCAACGGGAAAGTATCAGTGTTTTTGGCACATGAGACGGAATTCAGATGAGAAATTATCAACTACACCCATATACACTTAGGAGGAAGGAAACAGTAGTGGAACGCAGCCGCACCTCCTGAGAAAAGATTCAGCGCTACGAGGCGTAACACAATTATGAGCAAGTTTGTGTGTGTGCTCCAACTTACTTGAGCGACGCTATCATTCAAAAAGGACAGGATATGCTGGACCAGGGGTAATGAATCCTCGCGACGAATCGAAGGTAGTAGGGAAACCGCACAGCGAACCAATTCGGCACGCACCGATTCTTCCTGCTCCATGAACAAATGTTCTCGCAGTTGGGGGAGTAAAACAGTCAGCAGAATTTGTTGTGGACTGACTAGGCAAAAATCTGAAAAAATGAGCACGTGCGACTCAAGCGGTAGATGAGCACAAATAGAAACAAGAAGAAGGGCCCAAGAGGCCATTGGTGTCATAAGGAATCAATTCACTCATTCAGTGACTGAATTCGCAATCATATTTTTGCTGACAGTCACTTGATTAGGATGGGAAACAGCAACCCGAAAAAAAAGCTTAGAAAGAGGGCGAGATGTGATAAAAAGCTGGCTCGATATGTCAGCATGCGACTGAACCTATCGTTAACCGGGAAGGAATCAAAAAACGTTATCATTCTTTTTCTGTTTTTGCTTGGGTATCTTGGAAGTGACACTGCCTACTAGCAAATCACAGAACTTTTTCTTTTTATAAAAATAATTGTATCGCGATTTATTTGGCACAGTCTGAACTCATGCGTGTGAAATATACGTCGTTTTCGATATCCATACGAAAAGTCACTGCCTTCTTTCGTACCCCCACAATATTGATATTTCACTTCAAACGAGATTGAAATGCACATTCCTATTAATCGCCCCTGGATATAATGCACTGAATCACATGAACAGCATAGACCTCGAGCACAAAAGTAAGAACCGAATAACGATGCTTGTCGTATGGCTGACTCTCGGACAAAACAACACAATTAATCTCCGGGAAGGAAGTAACCATGGGAATGCAATGAAAATAGGAAATTTGGGTGCTGGTATTGTGGAGGTGGAATTCAACACTATCTAAGGTTTTCGATTGCACGCCACAGCTTCGTACACTGAGCAGATGAAGCTCAAGGTGGCAAAGATATCGTTCAACTGGTAACTTCAGTCAAGTGATTTGCATTTACGCGCCAACGATGCCCGCAGATGCGTGCACCAAAGATGATTTCTACGAGCAGCTAAAGACCGAACACCCAAACGCGACATCCTCATCGTCACGGGAGACCGGACCGCGCGCATCGGACCACCGGACGATTGCATAAACACCTTGGGCAAATTTGGACTATGTAGCCGATGCAAGAACGGTGAACATTTAGTCGAATTTGCTGACCGCAACAGACTGGACGTCAGTGGTTCTCGATATCGCATCAAGCACTTTCGGTACAACAACAATGACAGGACGGTACATCAGATTGACTGATTCCTCGTGAAGTCTTGTTCAAGATTATCGGTCGAAGACTGCAGAGCCTACCATGGCGCGGAATCAATAAAAGCCTCGATCACACCTATGTGCTAGTCCGCCTGAAGATTCATATAACCACCTGTCGAAAGTTCCACCTCTGGGCGGGATAAATGTGCCCACCCTGGAGCTTCCAAGCAAAGCGGAGACCGTTTGCCGCGCTATCACCATAACGCTAGCTACGCGCTTTCAGAATAACGGGACAGGTCAAGGTCAACGGAATGCAACGAAACCGATTATCAGGGAAGTTGCACTCACACGACGCGGAAGCACATCGCATCGAACTAAGGATTGGATCTCAGCAAATATGTTGTGTGCCTAAGGAAATCCCCTGAGTTCTGTGACCTTCGTTGTGAATCCACTCGTTCTGCGAGGAGAGATGATAAGCAATATTAGGAAAGAATCGCTGATGATATGGGGACTTCGACTGCCGCGGTGGACTATATATCAGACTGTTTTGCCTCATCTGCACTGCATCAATTAAAACTCTCGCCTGAAATTTTGCTTGGAGATGCTGGGGGCTGACTAATTAAAAATACCGACCAGAAGATAGGAAAGTTGGTCGAACTATTCGATCATTTAATTAATCGCTTATCCGTCTAAACGAGCTACCCCATGGTCCCGGAGTGTTTCAATACATCATAAATCAACTGTGATTTGCCTAGTCGGAATTACATAGCCACAGTTGGCGATCGCTGAAAAACAACGAGCTCTCTGGAGAGGAAAGGATACCCTCCGAAATATTAAAGACGTGCTTATGGAGTTTCTTTGACCAGCTGTATTCCTTATTCCATTCAATTATGGAAACTGAGATTTATCCAAAACACTGAAAAATCCCTATTCTGCTTACTACCCCGAAGAACAGCGACAAGAGTGTATGCACAAACTATAGAGGCGTCAACCCATAGTGGCCGAAGTGATGGCGGTGGTGCTACAGAACCGTTTCATGCCTATAAGAGACTTACCAACACGATTAAGTCAGAGCAGTTCTTCGAGTGGAAGGGGATCTGTCAACTAGAGATTCACGCTACATCGGATCCTGGAACGCTAGCAGAAGTTTCAGCAACTAACGACCGCTTGCTTTGCAGACCTTAGTGCTGCCTTTGACTCCGCCATTAGGATGTCCCCCTAGAAAATATTGTAAGCCAGCGGAATGCAACAACTAAACCTAGGACTGTTGAAGTCGTAATACGCTGGCACTCGGGTACAAGCTTAAGGTGAGGGGTCGTCGTTTGTAAACAAATTACCAACCTCGGAGAAAGGGCGAAATGAAGTGGAGTTCTGTCTAAGTTCCGGGGTTTGATGAGGCTGTTCGCTGTCACTTATGCCATTTCACTACACCATGGAACAGGGCGACGAATCAAGCGCTTTTCGAGTACTGCGAGGTGCAGGTTGATCGGAGTAATTAGATTGCGGACCTCGAGTATGTCGATGACCTTATCATCCTTGGCGAGACAGCGGATGTTCTACTGCCGATCGTCATTCGCATTGAGTTTTTAGGAGACTGTCTGATCTGGGGTATGCAGACGACATTGTGCTACTAGGTGAAGATCCAGGTGGGTTGCGTTTCTGGATAACTTGAATGCCAGCGCAGCCATATTCGGTATGTGTTTTGCACCTTCAAAGTGTAGTGTTACTACAAGACTGGGTTGGTCCAGCACCTAGCCTCACTCTAACTGGGGAAGTAATAGAGCAGGTGGATAAGTTTTGTTATTTCGGTAGCTACATCTCACCCGGTGGACGCATCACGGATGAAGTGTCAGCTAGCATACAGAAGGCTCGATTGGCATTTGCCAATTTGAAACATTTGTGGCGCCGTCGCGACATCCGATTGTCTGAAAAGGGTCGAGTGTATGCTGCAGCAGTTCGGCCAGCCCTGCTCTACGGTGCAGAGGCTTGGCCACTAAAGGNACAGGATAAAAATAGATTGTCGGTGTTCGAACACCGCTGTCTACGCAGCATTGCACGAATCTGGTGGGGTAGCCAGATGAGTAATGTTGAGGTTAGGCGTAGAGTTTTAGGCAGTCGCGGTCGTCCACTGGAACAAGTGGTCGACCTCCATAGATTACGTTGGTTGGGGCATGTGTTAAGCATGTCACCAAATAGTTTGTCACGGCGAGCGATGTTCGCCGAAGCAGACACCGAGTGGTCAACCTAAGACATGGCACGAGGGTATGAAAACCTTGACCGGGAGTCTGGGTCACATAGGTTCCGTTAGGCTTCCTGGCTGGGGACGTAGAGATGATGGTCACCGATGGTTAGAGATACTGAGTGATATGGCTGGGTGTCGCAAACAGTGGCGTTCGTGCATCTTCTCAATTTCTGTGCAACATTAGTCCACGGGAAATTCTGAATTTTTTTCTTTGATCCTACTTTCAACCTTTACTATCTTTCTCGTAATGTTCATCCAAATGGGCAGCCGAAAGATAACAATCAAAACCAGTTAATGGTTGTACAAACTGAAAACTGAAACTGATCGGGGCACAAAGTCGCATACAAATGGAGTAAGTAATTATTGGAATTTGTATCTTTTCGTCAATTCTGTACAAATGAAAATTTAGTCAAACAGACACATCTCAACGAATTTAGCGATGTACTGTGAAACAACTGTGACAACACTGTCGAAGTCGATAAATCATGGTTGAAACGAAAGATGGCAGTCTACTTAAGTTTACAGACTTCGACCGGAGGGCCATTCATGTACACAACTTCAAAGCCAGAATTAGTATCTAAGGTTGTAACCTAACGGTAATAGAACGGCGCACTAGATTGACGAAACCCCAAACACAACTTTGCTCGATACCAGAGAAACACCGACCATGTTGCCAATCGTGATCTCATTCAACCCGATTTAGTAACTTGGCCGGAGGTTATCCCATCGACGATCCCACAGAAAGTGTGAGGGACCCCTCTAAAAATGAACCGCTTGGTATAGGGTTAGGGATGATGATTTACAGGCAATGTGGATAGTTCGCGGGGTACAGTCGACGAATAATGCGTGAGATCGGAAATTAGAAAACCAGAGAAAAATATGCGCAAGGTTTGTCGTTGTGCACGGTTTTTTAATTTCATCAGATACGGAGGGGGGAGCACACCCTAAATCCGCAGAGACGTCGACAGACTGGGTCGTATTACCTGTTTCAGAGTTCGTGTCTCTTAAGAAAAGCCTGAAGGATGACTGTCAGATCAGTGATACTTTTAGGATAATCGTTTTTCAAAAGAAGCGCTTGTCTAGGCGTTTACTCGATCAACATCTTAATCATGTATTATTTACTGTTTATGAATACAACTAGACAGTTTCTATTCGCAGTATATTATAACAAGATTTTGAACGTACAAAATGGCATTCAAATCGACTCACCTTTAAGTTGTGATGTGGCAATGCGGCGGGTTTCTACCTCATTATCCTCCAGCAGATTGAGCATAATTTGGTGCAATGAACGACTTGGATTGTCAAAAGAACACGCCACTTGTTGGAGGTCAGTGATTGAAGCGGCCATTGCACGGCGGGAATCCCTGTAGATTACAAAAATACAGTGAAAGAAGTTGCGGTGAAATGAAAAAAAGCAGCAGTCTACATACTTTTCTATCTATTTACAAATGGATGTGCACGTGTGTGGACAGAACCCCTAACACCATAGAGGTGGTTTCTTTTTCATCTCGAAAGACCAGAGCTGTTTGCTACTGAGCCCGTCCCCAGGTTGCGGATAGGAGAACGGCTGTCAACTCACGACTAGCCGTGAATAAGGTGAACTTAGTGCCTCCCCNGCCCCCCCCCCCCCCCCCCCCCCCCCAAATAAGAGGTCGCTGACGATCAGCACCAGCGCTCAAAGATGTGACGGGTTTACCTCTTAGCAAGGATTTTCCGCACAAAACACACAAATCTGTGGACATCACTGTGGCCTGGTGAGGATGGTCTACCATTACATATGGCCATCGCCCCTTGTTGAGATCCATTGTCCGAGTAGGTTTTCCAGAAGAGACGAGTGAACGAAATAATGGCCACCGGCTGATCTGGAACACCACTGCTGTCTTGCAGTTTGCGCTTCGTTGCGCAAAAGCTAGAAAACACCCTCGAACAAGGCCTACTCTGGACCGGGAGACCGAGTAGTAAAACAGCGCACAAAGAATACAATCACGAATTTCTCGAATCTTACGTCTCTCCAGTTGATAGCTTTTCTGATTAGCGATAATCATTCCAAACCGTACACACACCCATGTCTCCCCACCCTTCCCTAGTTCAACTTCAACTCCTTAATACACTGCTTCTTTTGGGTTCTTCAGACGATCGTACTAACAGGAGTGCCTAAAATGGAGCTCTATCTCGACTACTGTCCAAGGCTCACCGAATTCTCCATCAGCTGAGGCTTATTCAAACTAGCCACATTTAGTGAGGGTACTATGATGCACATGGAACAACAGGCGTGTTTAGTTCGTACGTTCAAGAGTCTGGTCATGGATGTGCGTTGTATCCAAGTAACTCGCATTTAAGACTCCAGCTGCATTATCCGATTGACATCCCCATTAAACCAACGGACTGCAGTCCAGATATAGTCAAAGATGAATTTTAGCGAAAAAAACACGACCTCTTGCGTAAAGCGGACCGGGTTGACTTCGAGTGAGGCGCATCTGGGTCTTTCCGGACTAGATTCCTGTCGCTTGGAGAACGGTTGTTGGCTCCATGTTCCGACCACCGCTT